AGCTGTTTTGGGATCACTGAAAAGTTGGTTGGGAGGGGTGGTAGGGGGAATTTCTCCTCTTACCTTTCATAAGGCTATATATCAATCTTTGGTGGTAAATACCTTGTTTCCTATCCTGAGCCCTTCTGTAGTTAACCCTTTAACTCCCAAGATCTCATTAGTAACTCTCCTTACTGTCTGACATACAATTGTTATGATTTCAACTAGAGAATTTGGTATTGGATCAACCGATAATCCCCTAATTGATAATTTACTTTATTCTCATCACTTCTATGCTTGATATTGTACTGATATTATAAGGAGAAATTCTCTCTTGATCACTCATGGGATCAACTTCTTCAAGAATATTTTACACGAGATTATAGGGTTGGAATTTTTATCGCGTGACATTTGGTGAGAGCAATGAGAAAGGCTCATGTTGTTATTCTCTTTGGTTTGCATAGACTACTCATGCTATCTGTTGTCTATTTAACCCCTTAGCCCCCCCTAAGAGTGACTAGCATCAAATTTCTCCCTAAAGTATCAGCCCTGAATCACTCGTTAAGGTCATGAGAATAAAGGAAATGATCAGCAATGAAAGAAGCTTTTGATTGTTAAACAAATTCTCCTCGTCAGTACCTCAGGAAATGTATAGAGAACAGTATGGAGAATATGCATATTGATGTTAGGGTGTGAAGGGTTAACAAATATATTACATATGTTTCCGTGCGTCTGTTCGGTTACAGATCACAGATGACGTTAAAATGTGGTAAGAACAAAAAAAGGGATAAACGAGGTACAGGCGACCGTGTCCCTCATGTTCTTACCATACTTTGACGTCATTAGCTGCCGGGAGTCTATGTGTTTTATATATAAAAAAGGGAAAATATTGTTAACCCTTGGACTCCCCGTGAGTGACCAAGACAGAATTTCTCCTAACTATATCTATACAATATCGTGCAGATAAGTGATGAGAATAAAGAAATATATCAATAATGGGATTGCTAGTTGATCCGATACCAAATTCGCCAAACTATTATGGTGAGAACCATCGGGCAGACAGTAAGGAGAATTACTTATGAGATCTTAGGAGTTAAAGGGTTAATAATAACGTCATCTATTGGTCTGTCCTCCACTTTATGGATCATACGTAAAAACCAATCAAAATGCGAGTACAGTTCAGCTTATCATATAACACGGAATACACTGTAAGTGGTGCACCCAATCAGATTGCAGCTAGAACGCCAGTAGATTTATGTTAAAAGCGGGCGATGGAAAGATATCATGGAAACAAAATGATGAAATGATGAGTAGTAAACTTCCTCTCTGCGTCACAGAAACCAAGATTGGCTCAGGCAGTCGTGATTATTCTTCTTTACGTTCTAGTTAAAAATCTTTCAGGGGATGGGAGGGAGAAGGTGGAAAGAAGAGGTAGCCTGGGAGGGAGTAGACAGGAATAAGAGAGAGCCTGGTAGGGAGGAGGCAGGAAAGAGAGAGGGCCTGTTAGGGAGAAGGTGGGAAGAAGAGAGAACCTGGGAGGGAGTAGGCAGGAAGAAGAGAGGGCCTTGTAGGAAGAAGGCGGGAGAAAGAGAGAGCCTGGAGCGACATAGCTGCTTTACCTACCCGGAATAATGAACAATAAATTCGAGTAAAGGGCTTGGATAGAACGCGGCGGTTATTATACCCAGTGGAGTCAATAAAACTGAATAAGGAATTTGATTTTTTAATTATTTTTATTTGTTTTCATTCCAGGGTGTGATTTGTTTGGACATTCTTAAAGACAGCTGGAGTCCGGCTCTAACAATCTCAAAAGTCCTCCTCTCCGTTTGTTCATTACTCACAGACTGTAATCCAGGTAAGTAAGGGTGATTTTGAATCGAATGTTGCAAAGTAACCTGGGATTGCTTTGGTTTATCTTCACTTCGCCGCGATTGGTCCAAAACTTGCGCCACTTCCTCAACCAATCAGATTCAAGACTAAAATCAATGCAGGCTAAGCTTGATTACCCGCGTTTTGCCGCGCTTCAGAAAATTTGAGCTCTCATTGGCTGCAGTCGTGATTACTGTGATTTTGGTTGTACGACAACCAATCGAAAAGCACTCTATCAGAAAAAAGTAGTTTACCCTTAATACCCTAACATCAGTATGCATATTCTCCATACTGTTCTCTATATTTTCTTAAGTGTTGACAAGGAGAATTTGTTTTACCATCAATAGCTTCTTCAATTGGTGATCATTTCCATTATTCTCGTAACCTTGATGCGTGACCCGGGGGTGGTATTGTAAGGAGAAATTAGATTCTAATCACTTTTAGGAGTCAAACAGTTAAAGCAGATGGCGATTAATTATAAAACAATAAGTAATCAAATATCAAGTTCATAATTCAAGAATCGTTTTTTTTTGTGTTTCTAAATTATTTTCCTCTGTACATCTTTTTTCAGCTGATCCCCTCGTAGGAAGCATCGCCACACAGTTTGTTAACGACAGAGAAGAACACGACAGAATAGCGAAAGAATGGACCAAACGCTACGCAACATAAAACTGGAAAATTGAACAAAACTATTATAATTCATCCATCATGTTTCCAATCCATGTCTCAAATCATCCGCGTGGTGTTTTCTTGAGATAACGAGTAATGTTGCACCCAGATCTTGCCCACTTGAAAAGAACGGGCAAGGCTTGGGTACGATATTAGGAACGTGCGCTCGCCGTCTAAAATGAACTTTTTTCGCTTCGGTCTTCTTAGAAACGGATAGATTCGAGAATGTTCTGTATCACTCTCTGAACGCTCACGCTATAAACGATAATTCTTGTGTCACTCGATGCTTTTAAAACCCAGTAATTCAGACGAATATTTAAAAAATTTAAGAAAGATTTGATATTTTTTTTTCTTCCCAAAAAAACTTTAGTTTAAAAGCGAGCTTGAGAAAATATATTTTCGGGGTATTCTTCCGAGAAGTATCCTTAAATGAAATTCATTTTAATAAAGGTTTTGACGCAACCAACGACGTACCAAAAACATTGTTGAAATTTGCGGTCTGATAGAGAGAAAGAAGGTTGTAATATTGTTAGACTATATGTGTAAAGATAAATTTGACAGTTTCAGATTATCATTAGTGCTGTGAAGATTGTAAATAATAAAGTTTATTAATTTATCTGATGTTAAAGTGAGTTCTTATTTCTTTTACATTTGAATCTCTTTAATTAGACACGCATACCATCTGGAACATAATTATTTAATCACCTTGGAAAGTATGATAAACATTACCACAATGAGAGGGGTACTTAGTGGCTTTCATTTAAATTGCCACAGTTTTATCAATGTAATCAAACTTTAAGAAACACCTTGTGGACCATAGAGAAAAAAAAACAGTACCACATGAAGATACTACTCGGTAGCTTCCCGCACGGGATTTCGCCCTCATTTAGAATTACTCTATACAGCATAATAAAACTACAGGGGTTACGGTTAAATATGCTTCAGGTCCAACTCTGAGTAATTCCAACTTAAACCGCTAAGCGAGGGTTAAAATGATCTCGAGGATAGCGTTAATACCTATATTAATACCCAAGAATACGAACCGTATTAATATTATCTTCACTTTGAAGGGCATTGAGAATTTAAAACCGAGATAAATGACAATAAAACAGCCTGTACCATCACGCAAATACATTTAGCCCGCCAAAATCTCCATTTAAGCGCGTAAAATGCGTTACAATGCCCGACAGAGTGATAAAGATAAACTGTATCAACCATGCAGTTACTACTGCTTAGCAGCTTTAGTTTAGTTGATTTTAAGACCAGAAAAAATCTTTAGAATGTTACAAGGTTTTCAACAAAGGTGATTCAGATATCATCTCACGTGTAACGCCTAAGACGGTATGGTTAAATATTAACCTAATAACGTCATGCGGTAAAGACATGATAATTTTCTTCGTAATCTTGAGCTTTAATTTGATTCTGAAATTCTTCAAGTCTGAACAAAAAAACTGGTTCTCTTCACCCGCACAAAACTAAGTTGAAACATTCAGGTTAAAATTTCTGTGTTAAAAAAAAAACAGAGTTGAGTTTTTGCGCCATTAACCATAGCGATAATCATAAAACTAATCAAGAAGCAAAACCTAAAAGGAAAAAAAAAACCTAAAACAGAGTTTATCATTCTACAAATCGGATATTTACAAATCTTATCTCAAATAGGATTCTAATGTGGTAAAGTCTCAGCTCTGAAAATAACCTCTGAGCCGTTATAATGAGATTCTGAAAAGTACGGATTTAGGTTTGGCTTTAGTTTACCGATCAAATAGGAACACGAACACCCAGTTTAAGATTTGCGCTAAGAATTCTTGCGCGGTACTTTTTTGTGAAATTACTTAGATTAAAGCTTCTGTACTGAAATGTAGCACTTTTGAAATCAAAAACGGTAAGCTTGATTGTCAGAAATGGGGCTAAGATTAAATATTAATAAGTATCGCCTTTCAATTACACGCTACCATAAAGCGAAATGGCTTATTTCAAGAGTAAACTGGCCTTTGTTTTCCTTATATGTGTTTTACACTTGTCAGCCAGCCACAGCAGTTGGTCACAATTTAACTCAATATTAAACGGGCGGTTTATTTTACCTTCATTCGATCCATAATTAAAAGGGCACTTATGAAGTAAAATCGATGTTTAAATCCAAGTTTCTTTTAAAATGACAATGAATATAACTAATTAAAATTATCAACGGAAGGCTGCATATTTTATTTTGTAGCATCAACCCTCCCAAGGACATTAAAGTTTAATTATAGAGCGGCGCTTTTCTCGTGCCCCTAAAAACCAAAAAGAAAAAAACATCAATTAACGTAGGCGAAATTCAATGGAAGTTACTAAAACAAACGGATATCCGCTCCATTTTCAAACGGATAAGTGGTTTGTATAGCAGAAGGGATCAGACGCTGAGGTGGCTAAGGCAAAAACTCTCAGTCTATGCCAAAACTGCACGGATATTCATTGACACTGAATTCAAACGCAACCAGATTTAAATGATGAACGATTCGTGCTACGAAAATATGGCTGATTCTGTTCCGGCAATAAACACCACAGATTCAGAACGAATACCAGCTTTTCTTACACAAAGAATTGTTCAACAGATTTGTTATGGCATGATTTTCGTGCTTAGTATGGCGGGGAACGCAGCGATGCTAGCAGTCCTCCTCCACAGAGGAACTCGCCTCCTCTCGCGCAAAGACATTTTGCTGCTCAACATGATCGTGGCAGAGTCTGCTGTTGCAATCACCAGCATACCACTTGACTTTACCTTGTTATTTTTAAACGATGGTTGGTTATTCGGTCCTTTTATGTGCCACATTTTATGGCCAATGCAGACAGCACCTTTTGGAGCGCTGGTGCTAACTCTCACCGCGATGAGTATACAACGTTACAAAGGAATCGTGCACCAAATGCGAAGCAGAAATGCAGGAAGAAAGTCTTCGTTCGCCACAGTCATCTTCATTTGGTTATTCTCGTTAATAATCGTGGTGCCATACGGCGTTTTTTTGCGTCTCGAGGAAGGACAGTGCAGCGAAACATGGGGAGAAATCGGATCACAAGTGTATACGCTTGGATTGTTCGCCTTCCATTATGTGATTCCGTTAACAATCATCACCTTCTGCTATGCACGCATCGCTATTCGCATCCGCCATGGTCAACGGGAAGGAGCGAGTATCATTTCAGGGACGCACAAGGCGCGTTTAAAACGCTCAAGGCGACACGTTCGCGCCATGCGTATGGTAATTCTCTTTGTTGTTGTGTTCGCGGTTTGCATGTTGCCGCATCAAGTGGTTTGGCTGTGGATAACGTTTGGAAAAGAGGTGAATTATTCGGACAACTTGTTAACCTTTGCTTACATGTTTACTTTCACAAGCAGTTTTGCCAATCCTCTTGTGTACTTCACGCAGAACCCCGCCTTAAAGGCGAAACTAAAAAGCCTCATCTTGTGTCGTTTGACGCCTGACAGTCGCCTTAGAACTGGTAACAGTTTCTTCACAACTAGCGACGACGCTTCTGCTGATTCAAGAGTTTGAGCGATATCAGCAGCGTGGTATATTAAACTACACCAAAAACCTTTGAGAACACAAAGTGTGTTTATAGCCTTAAGCTAAGTATATTTTTAGAAAGGCAAATTGCCATTAAATTGATAAAAATTTGAGTAAATCTCATTGCCTCAGGTAAAAATTGCTCAAAGTGCTATGATTTAAATAATTCTCAAATTTATAGTCTGCTAAAACTTCACGCTATCAGTTTAATTTCTTAGGCAATTAGAGTTTCTAGGACATTCCTCAAACCGAGCAAAAAGAATACAGAATTGCCTGTAATATCAGCGCTATGGAGAGAGATCAGCGCCATACAGAGGAATCGGCACTGTAGAGAGCAATGTCTAATTTAGATGCTTTTCACGAAATGACCCTTTTTAGAAAAACTGATCTAACTCTGCAAGGAAAGTGTGAAAGTTTAATGAACTCATTAGGATTGACGATCTGATTTTTTTCCTAAATAAAACTTTCACACATTTCAATTCGGGCCCCGAATAATTAAGAAACATCGACTCGATATCATTTTCAGACTGTTTAATAGTTTTTTTTGGAGGAATTTTATGACCACCATCAGAAACCAGTTTGATGAAACCTAAAATTCCCTAAATTACAGTGCCAACAAACTTCCTCCTCAGCTTTTCAATTCGTAAATGTCGATGACTTCCTCAACCCTTTTTCATTTCATTACTGCCTGCAATCAACACATCAATCTCAGTCCATTGTTAAAAGATTTCGCTTCAGAACAATTTAGGCTCAGCCTGATTAATTTTATTGCGCTAAAATCACTGAGAAACCTTCGTAACGCTTCGCATAAAACTTCACAAGCGCATTTTTTCAACGACGAAAGGTAAAAGTTCACAGATCGACACGAAATCTCCTTCTGCCGAGAACGCCTACCTCAGGCAGACAAAGCAACGTATAAAACAAGCTTAAAAACAGTCTCACTTGTCATGGTAACCACCCATAGTAAAAGAAAAAAAGAGAAAAAAATCCCCGACTTTTTTAGTAATTCACCGGAAAACAATTTTCAGGTCGTCAATATTTCTCAGTCGGTCAAGTTGTTTCCACGCGAAGTATAAGGAGAAATGAACAGTTTTCTTTCTGGGAGTTTTAAAGTTCAGGTTGCTGCTCTCTGAACTGCCTGAAATTTTGAAGTTGTCTGGAACAGTATAGATAAAGATTTTAAATATCAGCTTAGGGCCATCATATCGTCTCCTGGACAAAAAAAGAGCAGCGTTCCAAAAACTTCGTTTAACCATGTACATAAAATTTGCGTGTAAACATGCTTACGTTTCCACACGCATATTTTGAGAACGCTGGGAAAAAGTTTACATATAACCACCGAAAACCCAGATAAACACTTCAAACATAAGGTATGGCATTTTAAAATATGTTTATTTGAAGAGAATTACGCGGTGGTATTTACAACACATCTGAAACCTTTCACATGTTAAATCCAAGTGGACGCTCCTGGTTTACATAAAGCATTCAGACACAACAAGCTGAGAGGGACATTCCCTTCACCAGCTATTAAGACTTTATCATTAAACATTTCCTCGATAGTAATGTAAAAAAAACAAAACAAAACAAAACAATTAGATACACTGATTAAAATACAGATGAGAAACTTGAGACCGTATTTTCAACATTAGAAGAACAAAATCTAACGTTCTTTAACAAAGTAAAAGTTGGTAAGTTTAATCCAACAAATTCGGCCTTTGTTGTTTTTATTCCCTTCGGAGATTTTCCAACCTAAAAGAGGGAACAGGTTAAAATTTAAATAAGCTCATAGGAGAGAACCCTGCTAACTCACACGGCCGAGGAAAACGAACATCTGCTCAAGAGAAGGGCGTTCTAATGAGCTGATCGTAGGAGTAACAGACTTGAAATGTTTTTCGAAGTTAAGTTAAAGTTTGCTTCCGGAGAAAATTCAAGTTTGCGATGTTTCATTGAGTAAACTTGAGACTTCTAGTAGATCGCATATACGCTTAATTCTCTGGGTCATTGTAGGAATATATGGTGCTTCAGATTTGTCCTCACTTTGGGGGTTCGAGCGAACCTCGAGTATTTCCCGCTTTTAAGTCATCGTCTTTTGGCGTTTAAAGCGCACAAAACTGGTTATTAGGTCTAGTGCACATCAGTTAGAAAGGAAATCAGACTGGCTTTTTGTGATATCATTAAAAGGATCACGGAGCATACAGCAGTTCGGAAAAAAAAAAGATTAAAAAAACGTTTGCGGTTGAGGTCAGGATCGGTTTCCTTAGAGGGCTCAGTGTTTTCTCTTTGGTCCACAGGGGTGGGGAGGGACAGAAGTTGAGCTGAAGAAAATGTCCAACCCTCATGACCATGTCTGTGGGGCCAGTAACGTCGAAAGCGTCATGTGCAAGGACAGACGCGAACGCAGGACAAAGAAAATCTTCTGAGTTCTCTAAAGAATACCAATCCCAGCCAGAAGAACTGAATTTCAGGGTCGTTTGCTCTCTCAACTAGGTTACTGAGAGCTCATTGCTGGGCTAAGCCGTAGCTAGGTTCGTACAGTAACACTCGCGCGTGCCGCAGCATCACACGAGTGTGACACGCGTGCAATCCCACGCTCTGCAAGCTCGAAACACACACAATGTGCGTCACTACACGCATCTGCATGTAAAACACTGCTTAAGTGTTATTCCCCCTAATTAGAGGCGCATGACGCGCGTGGGGTGCTGCAGTACACGTGAGTACTTCTGACGAGTGCCCTGGATACTTCTGGAACCAGCAGAGTTGAAAGCATCCAGAGTATATAAAACAAAATAAAAAGTATCTAACCGGGCCTGAAGGTCGGCGTCGGCGTCGGCGGTGGCTACGGCCTGTTTTGGAGCTTCTTTAGCAGCTATACCTCCCGAAGTGGTCGGCAGTCCCGTAAGCTGAAAAAAAGTATCAAATGTGATATACCTTAAGTTGATCTAACTCAGAAAAAGGATACCAAAGTCCTTTGAGCTTCAAGCTTAAAATTTTTAATACTCCCTCATTGTTTGCGATCACTTTTTCCAAAATTTCACATCCTTAAATGAAGAAAGACGTTTCTTCATCTTATCATGAGTGTGGGCGTAGGACAGAAAAAAGTTTGAGTACTTGTGAGAAATTAAACCCTGGAGGAATCAAACCTTCTCGCAGAAAGCTTAGAGCTGTTTTCAATTGAGCGTCGAAAAAATAAAACTTAAGTGTTCACAGAGACCAATCGGAACGAAGGTTTAAATTACCGCTAGCCAATGAGATCTCGAAGGGAAAACAAGCAAACTTCTTGAAGCGCGGGAAAACGCGAATGACTAAGACGCGGTTGTTGTAAGTTTGGCAACTGATTGGTTGAGAGGATGGCACGGGTTTTCTGGGCCAATCACAGAGTTAAATTAAACCAAAGCAATTCCTGATAACATATAATGCTCCATAGAAAATTGCTCTATTGGTGCATCTACAGTTGTCATTGTGCTTGGGGACTGTTATGAGTGCCTAAAGGCTTGCCATTTTTGATAGTACTCACTTGCAGGAGGTTTGACTGTGGTAAAACTTACCTCGTCATTCAGTGTCAGTCCTAGCTCGTCAAACACTTGTTGTACTATTTGCTCACTAAAGAGGAAAAAAAACCAACATTTGTGGAGTTCTTTCAGATCATTAGAAAGAGTTACAACTAAGCCATCCTTTACGTTTGTAGAGTATTGATTGATGAACTGGGCTTCTGATCAACAGGTCCATGGATCCACACCTGACTGGGTCTTTGTGGAGAACATCTACTAAACTTGGTGTAAATTAGCATGAAGCAACTAGTGGCTTCACTACCACCCCCTAGATAGGATGCCAGTCCATTGCAAGGTTACCTCCCAGGATTTAATCAAACCTTCCTGCTAATTTGCTGGAATCCATTTATACTCCTGGGCCCAGTTGTTTGAAAGCCAATTAGCACTAAGTGAGTGTTAAATTTTAATCTCGGTTTCTCTGAACCTTTTTGTATAAACAATTTGCTGATAATTTTCTCTGTTCTTATAAGAGCATCCAATCACCAGATTGTAGAAAAGTGAAAATTGTACTGAATTTTCTTCTAAATCTTTCATATCTGAAATCCAATTTTACACCAACACTGGGTTGTCTCAACCCAGCTTTGAACAACCCTGTCCTGAGTGGAAAGAGGCACTGTGGGAATTAAGCGTTTTGTCCAACAACACAATACAATGATGTAGCCAGGTCTCCACCCTGATTCTCTCAATCCTGTGTACCAGTGCACTGACCATTAGCCCACATTGTCCCCACTGGTCAAAAGATATTTCCATCTTCCTCCCAATAAAATTCCCCCCAAAAATTGTCAGCTTCCTCTGTTACCTCTCCTCATCATCCTCCTCATCTCCCATGACATCATCAATTGCATCATTCATCATCTCTTCTTTCATGTCCATAATTTCAGACTGAAAGTAAAAACCAGTCCTTTCATTCAAAATCCTCTTTAAAAAAATAATCACTAACACGAATCAATCTTGAAGGCCAGGGTGGTCATTAAAAAATGTAATGATTGTATGATCTTAACTGAGCATTGATTGAATTGAGTAATAGCACTATTAAGTTATACTTGGGTAGGAAGCCTAACATGTTGCAAGGTATACTCCCTTACAAACATTTGAAACTCTCTCAGATGTGATTTCCAGCATTCTGGGAAAAATTTGTCTAATTAAGTTTTCTTGAACAGAAATTGATGTTAGAATCAGTTCAAAAATACTTGTTTTCTGTCTTTGTTCACAGTTTACAAAATAGCTGCCACAAAATTGTCTGACAGCCAACAGGGTTTCCGCCACTTATCAGCTTCTAAAGTCAACCCTGACTGTCTAGATTTTCCATAATTTACAGTTCACCTGCTTTTCAAATTCCATCATGATCTTCTGAATCTGTGGCATTTTTAATTGTTTGTTCATGGTTGCCATCGTCTGAACAGAAAAGAATGAAAACAAAAAACTATTAGCTATCTCAAAAAGTTGTTATGATGATTTCAAAGGGGCACTTAGAAAAAAAAACCGTCAAGTAATTTCTGGTAGTAAGACTCTTAGATTAGATTTCCCATCCACAATTTTTTGTATTCTCCTCTGAAACATAGGGATAAGTAGATGTTGTATCAAAACCTTCATTCTGCCCACACCCTTTCTGTGCATAAGCAGTTACAAAAAGCCTCTTTCAGATTATAGGCCAAAAACTCCACCAAACAGTAATTTGGTCAATAACTTTAAAAATATGTGACCCTGACTACTAAAACACTGCAAAACCCACACCCAGTAGTCAAATGCATCATTTGCTCAAGAGTTTACATGTTTGAAAACATTTGAGCAGTCAAAATGCCAGTTTCATCTTTTCCTTACTTAACAATTACCATTGTAGTCACGTCTTTTTGTTTAAACATCATACCTTTGCAACTCCCTTCATTGCTTGTGCCATGGCGTTATTTGATCTCAATGTCTGTAAAATAAACAAACCAATCACTCAAGCAAATGTTGAAAGTGAAGCCCTCTGTAAGATTGAATGGAATTTGGCTTATTGCTGAGATAGGAAAAGTGGAGAACTACAAGAGACACCTAAATGCAAACAAAACCAACATCACACTCAACCCACATGCAAAGCCAATCAGGGGAACCAAACTCAGGAGCAACCTATACATTTGCCAAATGAAGTTTACAACCACAAGTACTTGTAATACATTATGTTGCACTTAGTTGGAAATTTGTAATAAAGAATGATTTATAATGGCTGCAAATTTGAAGGCACTGACATGCAAAAAAATATTTTTATTGTGTGACACATATTTATCAATTATCTCTTCAAGTTGTCCAACACTTCCTTGTAAACTACTTAAGGGAAATTGGTGTAATATCTTAATGACCAGCTGTAACTAATCACTCTCTCTTTTCCCATCACCTGTTTTCAAAGTATTCAAATTGCAAGAAGTTAAAAAAAGAGATTTTTTTCTAGGAATTACAGGTAAGACTTTTAAAACCAGTACAAGAGATAATAAATTGAGGTAAATTTTCCTTTTGATACTATCAGTCAGGGTCAAATTGCAAGAAATTTAGTCAAATCATTTAGGAATTAAAAATTAAAACCAGTATTAATAAGAGAAATTATAGAACAAAGGTAAATTTTACAGTTGATGTTATAAGATCCGAGTGACAGAAAGAAGTTATTAAAAACCTATTTCTTAGTACACTCTTCAGCCCAAAAATAAAACCAATTTTTTTTTCAATTAAAAGGCACTTTATCCACTTGACATTTCCTTAATTAATTTATCTTAATTGATAAAAATCTGCATTTCAAGTTATTGCTCATAATAGTGTCAAAATAAAATTTAAATCGAGAAACTCTCAATTGTGGGGCAATGGTTGCATAAACTACCTTATCCAATAGCTTCAGGTAACCAGAACACTTCTTTTAATACCAATTTCAAAATTCTATACAAATGATTGAATTGATGGGAGGAAAATTATATTGACTAATTCAAGATGCTAATACAATTTGTATTTTGTTACTCATAAACTGGCTGCATCTCTCACCCATAAAAATTTAAAAAGACCCAAAACATAATCTGGATAATGACAATTTCTAACAAACTTATAAAATAATGTAAAATAATTTTCCTTTAGGAAAAGAACAATAAAGGTAAGTTTGGAAATACTGACAGTTGCTATTTTTATCTTGTATATTTTTTAGTTTCAGGTAGATAATTAACAAGATTTCAAAGTTGTCTCAATAAAGAGAAAAAAATTGATTTGCCTGGGTACAAGATTATAGCACCTAAAATTATGATTTGAAAATTTGGGCAAGGAAAAATGTCAAAAACTTTGAAAATCAAGGCCTTCCCTTTAAGGAAAGAAAGGAAAAAACACATTAATTTCAACTAAATATAAATCTTTTTGCATTCAATAGTCTTGAAAACAACATTGAGAAAGCATATGATGACAAGTTGTGGGGAGGCGCAGCTTGGTGATCAATTTCCATAATAAACAAGTGTTTAGTGACCCTTTCGCTCTAAAATCAGTATGCATATACTCCATAATGTTCTCTATACATTTCCTGAGGTGCTGACAAGGAGAATTTGTTGAACAATCCAGAACTTCTTTAGTTGGTGATCATTGCCTTTATTCTCATGACCTTAATGTTTGATTCAGGGGATCTTCTCGGGAGAAATTACATGTTGGTCACTGGTAAGGGGTCAACAAGTTGACAGTTGTATTTAGCGAAGCATTAAAATATAAAAAAAAAATGAATTTTTTTTTTTCTGGCAAAATCTACTCCTTTCTTATATTTCATTTCCCTAGATTAGATTCATCCAAACAATGAAAATGCGCCATCAATGATTCACACACCAATTATTTTTACGAGTCAACATACACAACTGTGGTACACTGTGGAAATTACTCTGTGCAATTTGCACAGTCATATCAATTTCCTTACATGTATATATCATTTTGAGGGAATCTCCTTCAAGAGAAACTCAGAATTTTCGCAACAAATCTCTGACATCTTTCTTTCTTTAAACCCTAAGAATGACTAGCACAGGGCTAAAAATTGGCAGTTGCACGGTTGCCAGTGGTGAGTTAAAACTGAACAGGGCCACCAAAAGTTAAGGTTTGAATGCCCGATGTGTAACTATGCTACAGAATTTCGAAAAGTTGCAATGTAAATTATGGGAAGTACAAAGTAAAAAATAGAACTCAATATGTAATTTAATTGGACTACCTTTCTCTTTGTTTCTTTGTGTGGACTTAAGATCATCCATTTTAGTGAATTTTTAGTTCTGAAGTGGAAATTCCGAGCCGTTTTAACAGTGATTTCACAAGTGATCCACATTCACAACATATAGATGCCATTTTGATTTTGTGATTACCAAGTGACTCTGAACTTTGTGTTCTTTCCTTTTAATTAACGCTCTGTTAAAAGCCAAGGGGCATTTATTCAAGTTTTTCATTTTAAACTAGAGGAATCCAGGGCAACTTCATTTTGGGATGGGACACTAAGAATTCAAGGAAACTGGCCCAACTGGCCACCAAGCACTGGAGTTAATTTTTAGCCCTGTTAGCATCAAATTTCTCCCTACAATATCAGCCCTGAATCACATGTTAAGGTCATGAGAATAAAGGAAATGATCACCAACAAAAGAAGCTTTCGATTGGTAAAAAAATTCTCCTTGTTTTCCTCCTTAGGAAATGTATAAAGAGCAGTATGGAGAATATGCATACTGATGTTAGGGTGTAACGGGTTAAGCATTCAAACTGATAGAGGCCCCCTTTAGCCAGTGCCTAACCTACCTGGATTTTGAGTGAAACTGCCTGGATATTTGCGCGCATTACTATAAATTTCTTGACATATCTTCTAGTTCTCACAAGATCTTTCGCCATTATCTTGACTGCATCCTGTAAAGTATACATTATGTGTAGTTAACTCTTTAACTCTGGGAATTGATGAACATTTAACTTCTCCCTATAATATCCATACATTATCCAGCAAACAGGTAATGAGAATACTCATTGATAAACTTATCAGATAGAAGTTGTTATGTCAATCTAATACCAAATTCTTGTAACTAATTACAAGGAAATCTGCAGCAGCTAAAGGGGAGGATGTACAATCAGATCTTGGGAATTTAAGGGTTAACAGGTGGGAACTGCCTCCTACTTGAATAGAAAACTCATGCTGTGTAGTGGGGGGGGGGGGAATAGACATAGGCACCCCTGGAGAAAGGGCTGGAAGGGAATGGCATAGGAAGAAAGGGAGAGGAGAGGGGGTGGGGACACAGGCCACAACTTCAAGGGAGCCTGAGGGGGCTGGGAAGGAAAAACCAAACATAAAAGTTAAAATTTCTTAACAGCTGGTCTGCAATGCTTGGAAGCACAAGAATGAGATTCAAGGAGTACATGTGACTGAACATACCAGGATATTGAAATATTAAGAATTGAAGATGAGAAAAATATCTGTTGGGGAGATGTACATGTACAGGGGATATATGCTGAATATAGACACAAATGAAGTCTATTTAGAGAGACACTGTGAGGCATGGGAAAAATTGTGGTAAGATACCATATAAATCAAAACTGGCAAACTGAGCTGGATTTTCAACTTTTCCACTGGTTTTCAGCTACAAGATATAATACCCAGAAGTCTGTCTAGGATGAGTGGTTAAAGTATATGTTTAACAGGTAATCAAACTTTGGAATTGAAATAAACGGGCAACTACTGTGCTTACTCTCCTGGCAATCATAAAGAATTTTCAATGATACCAATTTAAACTGAAGATCTGAAACCCCACGAGGCATGAAACAGACTCATGTCTGGTAAAAGGTAAAACAGACACAGTCACATACTATAATATTGTAGCTATCAAGAGTTATATAATTATTTTTTTAATAAAATGGAATAGAATTTCACATCTTCCCACCAGAACATGACCTATATGCTGTATGTGGTCAGACAATATTTTGAGTGGAAGCTAAAACATCTTAAGGTTTCAAAAACAACTTAATAAATCTTTAATTCTTACAGACATACCATCTGTCCAAGTTTTGCCATTTTCTTTATATCAGCTATGACTTTCTTTTCTTGTTGTTCCATTTTGGCTCGCTCTCTATCAAGATCTCTGAAATATATGAATTCAAAATTCTTAAAAATGATAAGAGATGAAGAACTGGACTGAAATAACCTGAGTTGTACATGAAGGATAGCTGAGATACCAGAAGCCATGGCAAAATGTGAAATTTTTACCACTGAACGACCCAGGATGATAAATCAATTCAGATGCTTGCGATAACAGGATAATCGATTACTGTGTCGAACGAAATGCTCGAACAACTCGACGTACTTAGTAGCTAGAGCTACAGCACCATGTCAAGCATTCGTTCTTAAGTGAAATATAAATAATTTCCCTTGGAAACAAATCTTACGCAGAAAGAGACAAATTCTACGAAAAAACTGTCTCTGTAAATGTGCACACTATACAAAAGCAAGCAGCATTTGCCTTTTAGAATCCAATATCAGCTAAAAGTTTACAAGACATTGGAAAACAGTACGTAAATTCTGAAAACTAAAATAACACGAACCTCATCGCTCTGTTTAAAGCTCTCTGATGTTGCTTAAGCATTTGCTCAGGAGTCTTTCTCTTGCCAAATAAAAAATCCATGACCAAATCCTTTCACTACACTAGGTTTTGAAGAGTAAAATGTTTCTGAATCGAGGAAAGCTGGAACAATTTTGATCGATTACAAGCTTGCCTTACTACTTAAATTTCCAAAATAGAAACTCGACGTCACTGTAGAATCGTGGGCTCAAATCGCGAATTTATACGTCATGTGACTCGATGGGGAAACTGACGTCATGGCGTTGACCCAAAGCTCGCCATAGCTGCTGCTGGGAGAAATAACCGGCTCCGTTTGTCGTTTGACTACATTGAAATTATTTTTTCTTAAACCAGTACTAAGTGAAGTCCATATTAAGCGAACACCGACTTTACGGTGGATTTTGTTTTTGGATTTTAGCGGTGAATTTTATCTCCTCATATTTAGTACCCTTCTGTGCACTTTATTTATATAATTCTCTGATCAGTAAAGTTCAGCTTCACCTATTGATCTATGGTCATAAAATGGATAGTTAATCAATTAGTTGTGGTTTCATACAAGCAAAAATATAAGTAAAAGGCAAGAAAACAAAAATAAAGTCAGCAACAACCGTGCGTAAAAAAATATCAAAAGGTAACCGAGACAAATCAGGCAAAAACGATATCAAATTATGCATAAAATGATCAAAGCGCTTTTTAATTGATATGTTGTTAAGAGTTAAGAATTGACTAGAATTTTGTCTTTCTTATCGTCTGGTGACCTTGACGAGATCAGAGATGACTTTATTACAAAAAGTCAAAGCCAAAATTTTCTCACCTTGATAGCTTAGTTGCAAAGGTAGTTTAACCGCTGATTTGGCCAAGTAGTAGAAACATATCTCTAGGACTTTGACGAGTCCTGTGAATCCTATTATTCAATACCAATATTCTTTGCTGAGATGAGAAGAACGAAAGGCAGGAATTAGAAGTGAAAGCCTCTTTTAGAGGCCTAATCTGTGGCAAATTTCCCCCCTGCCTGCCCCCCGCCTCGGGCGCCCCCACCTCCGCCCAGTCCCAAACCCTTCTACTCGGCTCAACCTTTCCTGCATCAAAAAGCTGCCTAACATCGAGCAATTCACAGGTTGTTAAACATTTCGATACTACTTTCAACATGAAACAGAGACAGGAATTAATACAATCCATCTCAAAGTAAGAAGCATTTTTCATTTTCCCGCTTCATCCTTTTCATTCGTGGTCGTCTCTTTTCAAAACTTTACTTCATGCAGTGCGCACACTTTGCACATACGTCATGAATGTCACGAATGTCGCGAATGTCACTACGTCAAAATGGCGAGAATACATCAGAGGTTCATTTGAACACACCAATCAGAATGGGTCATCTAATATACCGACCAATCAGATTTCGCTTTGTTGTTTCGCGGCGCCTTCAAATTTTTTGGCGTCAACGCCTCCTGGTTTGAAGTTTTGTTGTTTTTCCTGATTAGCTTCAAAGGGGTTCCGCACTTGGAAAAAGTTACGATTTGGCAGGACTGTAAAAAAGCTTTATCAGGAATATCACAACGTGAGTAACTCAAATTCATCGGGAAAAATTTGTTTGAGATTCAGATCAAATGGTGTAGTTGAAAGTTCATGTTATTGCTCCAAACCAGCTGAAATTTATGTCTAATGGTTAGATCATGGATGGGTTTTTAAATATAGTAAGGATAATTTTTTAAGTAGTCATTTGACAAATATTCTTTCCTGTTGTTACAGGCTAGCATTTCCGCAGTTCGGACAAAGTTCTGTAAAAATTTTAAGGGTCTTCAACAAGGCTTGTCTTACTGCAAGGGAAGATCGCCTGAGGTAACCAACTAGATGAATAAGTATGAGGGGACATAACTCGTTCTTAACTTACTTGACCGTAATAAATGCAAACATTTGGAGAAACTATTGGACCATAGACTTCCAATGCGCCTTAAAAATATTATATTGTTAACAGCGGCCACTTGGCGATTTCGCCATAGTGGCGTAGACCGAAAAAAGACCTTACAAGAACACTTTAGAGCAAGAATATTCGCCATTTTTTTGCTTTTTGCTTTGCATATATTCCTCTTAAAGTAAATATTGCTCGATTTGATAGAGTTTTCTCATTGTTTCCTACATTTGCCGGCGAAGTAAAAAGGCAAATGTACAGAAACTGAAATCGTTGCTTAGATTAAATTGAATTTCGACATCATCTTGACAAGGTGCTCTCTTTATTCAAAATGAACGACCTTCACTTTTTTTGTCACAAGACCAGCCCCTTTGCAAAAATGCCGAAAACTGATTCCATAAGGGGAAATTATCATCCTGAACGGCTAATAAACTGTGGAAAAAAAGTTCAACAACAGAAATCATCTGCGTGCGTGCCACATTTTCATTTCTCTGCCTAACTTGAAATATAAAAGCTGTTGATATATCCTTTTTTAAATAATTACAGGTTATTCAACCTGTGCTAGCCATGTGCTTGATCTGTTGTTTTTGAAAAAGTGAGACAGCTTAAAAAAAAAACTGTCTGAAAACTAAGGAAAAATGATCATCAAGTGTTTTTAGGTCAGGTTTTGAAGAGCTGTTTGAGAAAAAATCTATAAATATGAACAAAAAATCAGAAACATAGCTGGGAAATGCACTTCTCCATTTAATGTACTCCTCCAGTTTAACCTATCAACGTGCTACAGTACAACAGAGATCAGTTTCTTATGAGACAATAATATGTTACTTCAAGAAGTAAATCAGATCAGTCCTGGGTGATGCTAGGTTGTATAACATCCGTTGCAGTAATAATAAGCCAAAGAGAGTTCCCTATTTAATCATTAATGTCTATCATTTTTTCAGAAACATATGATCAGAGGAAACAACAATGAATCCTCTTCTTGTGCTTGGATCTATCCTTTGTTTAGTTTCTCTTTCTTATGCAAGGGATATCAAAATGGGGGTCTTTCTTCCTTTCACTGGTGGTTGGCCTGGTGGTCCCAGGATGGCATCAGCAATTCTGATTGCTAGGGACAAAGTAAACAGTGACCCTTACTGGCTTCAAGGACATAACCTGACCTTTGTACTTAAAGACAGCAAATGTGAAGCAAGAGCATCTCTTGCAACATTGGTGGACTATTACACAATAGAAAACCCCAAAGTGGATGTCTTCATTGGTCCTGGATGTTCAGTGGGATGTGTCCCTGGTGCCTACATAGCAGCTCACTGGAACATTCCCATGGTATCTTGGGGATGCGCAGCGACAGTACTATCAGACAAAACACTCTATCCTTATTTTGTACGGACAACTGGTACATTTGCTGGTTTGGGAGGTCTCTTAAGGGCCATCTTAGCAAAATTCAAATGGGATCGCATGGCAATCATGTCTTCAACAGAAACAGCTTTCTCAGCGGCTGCTAATGATGCAAAGGTCACCATAGAGAAAGATGGCAAATATTCAGTACCCTTTTTTGGTAGCTTTTCCCCTGGAGCAACTGACCTCTTCAAACTTAAATCCATGGTCAGGTCAATGGCAACCAAGGCACATGGTAAGTAACAAGAACAAACCTGACAGAGGACATGCATACAGACAATATTGGCTTATATTCATGAACCTTTGTGTTCTTTATTACAATTGCTAACTGCTGTAAGCTTAATAATTTATATTAAATAAAAGATCATGATAAAATAGAGTTGTAAATTGACCAACTTATCTTCACTTTACAGTTGTAATGGTACTTTGCTATAATGATCTTATGAGAAGTCTAGTGCTTATCTTCAACGAGCTGGGCCTGTTGAATGGGGATTATGTGATAATTTCCTCTGAGACACTTTATGAGTCATGCCAAGCTGGTGATGAAAGAGATGATGAGGCTTGCAAAGCTTATGAAGGAATGATTGACATTAGTCAGTACGTTCCAGATTCACAGGACTATACAGACTTTACTACTGATGTTTACAACAGGATGCCTGAACTGAACTACACAATGCGTGCACCTAATGAAGTAAGTACACCTCTTACACACCTGAAATGTATTTAAGCAAGACATTACCCCTAAAGCTGAAATCATCAACTGTGATTCATGAAATAAAATGAAACAAATTAAAGAGGACAAAACTCAACAATGCACCAAGTTATATCATAAATAAGTCTTCCCTAGACCCCTATCAATCCCAACGCTTCATTATCAGCCTACTGATCATCAAATGACCTAATTATATTATTGCTTTTTTTCTGCTAGACTAGCATCTATGCTGCTTACCTTCATGATGCCATTCTTTTGTATGCATATGCCCTAAATGAATCTTTGACCCAGGGTGTGGCCATAACTGAAGGGGCAAATGTGTCTAAGTCAATGATAGGAAAGCAATTCATAGGTGAGCATGCTTTTAAGCAAAACTTTTGATAAGATGGATCCTTATTGATACACCCAGTTTCACCTATTAATATATATTTAAAATGTCCCTTTCAAGCAATATTGTCATTTGCATTATTTTATTAAGTACAGATAAACCACCTTTGTGTCATTATTCTACATCACTACTGACAATAACATTAATTTTCTAGCAAAACAGTGTCACTGAGCCCCAAAGAAAAAAAAGCTTGTGAATATTCATGTGTAAGAGCTGAAGAGAATTATTTTTTCTCCAATGCTAATAGGTGCATCAGGTCCTGTTGGTATTGATGAAAAGGGAGACAGAGTTGCCTCTTACAGGCTGCAATCATTTCTACCCGGCATGTCACTTGTAAGAGTTGCAAATTATTTTGGCACAACTGGAGAACTTCAGCTTTTGAATCAACCAATCATGTGGCATGGTGGTACCACAAAGATTCCCCTTGGAAGACCAGCATGTGGTTTTGACAATGAATTTTGCAAAGAGGCTGCAAAAGGTAAAGGAAAAATTTATAGTCTAGTTGAACAAGATATGAGTTCCCTGTACACATTGGAAACAATATAAGCAAGAGAAAGTGTATGTTAATTCCAGCATGCAGATAACCAGGTCAAAAATATAGGTTGTCGGGCTAATGTACTGTCAAAAGACCAGGCCCAGGTTGTTCAAAACTGGATTAAGATAACACATGGTTAGTGTGAAATTTGATTTCAGGTCTGAAAGCTTTAAAAGAAAATTCAGTTCAAATCTTTTTGCTTGCAATTTGATCTTTAGATGTCCTAAAAAGAATAGA